CTCACACATACAATGTGACTTCAGAACAATATCCAATGACAAAAAAAAAAAAGGAAATAATATTACTTTTGGATATCAGAAGAAATGAGTACTCCTTTGCTACAAAAGGAGAAGAAAAAATACATAGGCTTCAAAAAATGAAATAAAATTAATGCATTTTCTCTCAAAATATTGTTGTGGAGAAATGGTATTCATTTAGATCTTTCACCAATTATGTTGAATGTGTCAACAATGGTCTTAATTTGTGCTTCCTGTCCAGGAGGAAAGAAAACCAAATAATACCATTAGATATGAAAGTAAAGATTCTAGATTTCTAGAATTAAATAAGAAACATAATTTGTTAGATGTTTTCTGTTATTTTTTGTGTAAGTACTGCTTCAGGTTCCTACTGTTTATCATTATTAATGTAATCAGTAGGTTTCTCTTTAAGCATTGATATGTGATACTCAGTTTTAATAATTTCTATCTCTACCTTCTTAAAATTAGGAACATGCCTATTTTAAAAAGGTACCTGGCAATCATTCTTCTGAAAAACACACCCAAACTATTATGTGGACAAACAATTGCTGGCTGTTGACAGTTTTTCCCTGCCAAATGCATGGTGAATCCAAGTGAAATTCCCGGGCTCCTGGGATTCTTAAATGTATCACCTACCACATGATGCTACTTGGTGTGAAGTATTTTAAAGTTACTATATCCCTTTAGATCAGTCCACTACTCTTTATTGTTCCAGATAGTTAAACAAAGCTGACCAATTGCTAAAAGGGGGATAAATCCTTTATTCAATTTCTAATCACAGATGGAGTATTTGTTAATGATTGCTTCTGACTGCTCTATTCTTCAATGCACAACATTCTTCATTCTGATCATGCAACTCTGGCCAATTGCTTCTGCAAGAAACAAAAACAATTACTCACTGAATTATTCAGTACAATATTCCAAACGCTCTCAAAACTGTTGTAATTCCCATTTTCACATTGAGAAAAGTGGTTGTTTTATCCAATTAGCTGCTGGTTTTGGCTGGCAACAGGTTTCCAATACAGAGAAAGTGTACAAATCTGCATAACTGGATGGAAATCTAATTATTACAGGTTTCCCAACTCCTTTTCTGGTATGAAGCCTTTTGATTCCTGTAATTAGCTTGTAATTTTCATTAGCAGGAATCGACTCAGGTATGCTTATGTCAAGTACACTGATTTAACGAGGAGTGTATGAATCCTGTGCTATCCATCCTGGGAAAGCAATGTCATAATGTATTTATTTATGAATTGCACTTGTATAGCAGTGAACCTTACAATTCATGATGGTTTACAGGAATAAGAATGAACACAATAAACATAGTTTAAAATCATAAACAAAATAACAATAGTAAAAAGACAAATAGCTACCAGGTTCAACCCAACAATGACAAAATATTACAAATGCCTGTGGAAAACTGTGCCACAACAGCATAAAAAGCTGCCAGTATTGGCACAAACTGGCTTTTCTGAGGGCACAGAGGCACATTCCAAAGAGAGTGGTCCACCACAGAGAAAGGGAATCACCATCTCCAGGACTTCAAAATGCACATCCTTAGGAATATATCAAATCAGAAATATTGGCCACTTTACTGCATCGAAGTATTTATGTTCTTTCATTGAAATATGCACACTGAGAGACCCACATAAAGTACAGTTAGTATGAGTTGGATTTTTCAACAGGTTATATAAATTATTTGGGAATATTGGATATCTTATTGAAACAAAAAGTGATTTTTAGAAAGATAACTGCATTATTGTTGTCTGTTGCGATTGTAAAGGCAATCGTTTTTAATTATGATGTTCTCAGCATTAAATATGTTCAATCTGAGCATGTGTATATCAGAAAATTTCTTGAGAACATGTCTGCATAACACAGCCAAATAAATGAGATGCAGTTTTCTTATATCTCATACTGTAACTGTAGGAAAGCACAGGAATTCCAAATAACTTAGTTATTATAAAGGTGTATGTCAAAGTTTCTCACAGGCATTTTTTATTGCCTTAAGACAAAGGCAAGGAGATGATATCCCCCTACCCATATAGTTTTTGACTGAATTTGCAATTCAATTTTATCTCAATATTGGCCATACAGTAATGTTGTATATCAGGGATCCCCAAGCCCTGGCCTGCGAACTGGGATCAGTCCATGGCCTGTTAGGAACCAGGCCGTGCAAGCGATGGGCAAGTGAGCGAAGCTTCATCTAAGCACGTGTGGAATCTATGCTGCATGAAAAACCACACACACACATACACAGGTCCATGGAAAAATTGTCTTCCACGAAACCCTTCCCTGGTGCCAGAAAGATTGGGGAATGCTGTTCCATATCAGGAGGGCAGATTATGTGACATACACATTTCTTCTTTCCAATAGCACAGTTCTGTTCACAATTGAATTCAAGAGGAACGTCATATGGCACCTGACTTTGTCATCTCATGTTGTCTACTTTATAGGGCTGGTTCAGTTACTTGTGCAAATGTTAACATGCATTCTCAATAATCCTGAATGTCATGTCCTTTGGGTTGAAAGATTCAGTGCTACTCTGAATAGAAAGGATTTCTTTTGCTACAAATTAAATGCTGTAGCACAAAATGAAGATTTGAATGAAAAGAAATCTTAGAATCTTTTTACTCCCCCCTCCCAATTTTTGTGCTTTAGTAGAGATAGTTGATAATGCCTATGCTCTCATTAGTACAACTAGTGCTATTTTAAAAACCATTAAAAACCATTAATATCAATACTAAGGATTGCAAAGACAGAGAAAAGATAAAACCATCCAAATATATATTCTGTTGCCCTAAAAAGGATTAAAGCATTCCACAAACTTTGCACCCAGTTTCTTCTGGACTATGTTTCACTTTGTTCCCTTATTTGAAATCCCTATTTATTTTTATTCCAGAGAAACCTTGTATAACCATGCATACCAATAAAAGCATATACACCACACTTGTAAGTGGCTAAGAAATTCTTTATCACTGAATATTTTATTGTTGTAGCCTTTTATGTCTGGTATCCATTTCTATTGTGATATATTACTACGGTAGATTACTTGTCAAACTGACAAGTTTACAGTTTTGTTATTTCCCAGATCAATAAAGTTTTAAAATGATTTATTAGGTTACTGCCTTGCTATGGTCAAGGGGAAAGAATAGCACTGACCTTACTCATTTTCCCTTTCTGTAACATTAAATTTTCTTTAATAAACTATGTGTTCACAGTGGCATATTAAATATCAATGTCATGCCTTTCTTTAGTAAAGTAAATGCAAATATCTATTAAACAAAGGACTGACAATCATTAGTGAACTATAAAGACAACCTCAAATCTGATTTACAAGAAGTACACCATTAGTTCCTTTTTGAGAAAAAAATGCATAATTCAGATTTTTGCTGCTACCCACCATCTTGCCATGCATTATGTCATCTAAATAAATAATAACAATCAATTTTGCAATCCTTTGCATCATCACAGTTGCATTCACTGAGCAGAGAAGAGGAGAGGAAATAGTGTTGGACTTAAATGGAATAGTCACATGCTTCTTAAGTTTTTAGTCTAGAATCTGTGTTGTAGAGCATTTGGTTCTAACAAGATGAAGGCATCCTCAGGGATGAGCAACATATTTAGCCATCATTGGCTGAGTTGCTTAAATCTTAAGAGAGAGATTTAGTGATTTGAAGGTCCCAGAAAAACAGAAGAAACTGCAGAAGCAGGAAATCAACAGCTGTGAAATTAGAAGGAACTATAATTAGCCTAAAACAAAGAGGAAAAGTGGAATCAAGAATAAAGGCTAGGAGAGCAAAATTCACTAGGCCAACAACCAAAAGTGTGGGAGAAGTAGAGAGAAAACCACTTAGTTAAAGAACTACAAACCCCTATAATTGTAATTGACTGTTTTCAAGCATATTAAGAGCTAAGTCATTGCTCTTATATCAATTATTAAATGTCCTTCTTACATTAATTATTAATGTAAATTTAAAAACATATTGGGGCTATTAACAACTACATCCGCAAATTTATTGCACCAATGTAAATACAGTATTATAACATTCAAAGAGTATATTGGGTTGTGTCTACACATGTATGAACCTTTGAACATTAAAGGTCTGTCCATCTGATCTGCAGAGTTAGGGCTTACGGAGGTAATTATGAGATGCATACCAACGCACAAATTGTCCTGTGCAATGAAATATACACCTGTAGGAGTTCCCACAAATGTCAGAAGCAAGTCACTAAGTGTGCGTAGATGATAATTCATAATAAAATGGATACATCTTTACAAGAGAGATAGAGATAGATAGATGATAGATAGACAGACAGACAGACAGACAGAGTAAGAGATACATTATGTTCCTTGGGTTTAAAAAACGAAACTGTGATAAAATGAGGCAGTAGAGCAAGGTTGGCTTATCTGTGACCTATGTCTTGGAGTTTGGAAATGCTCCACGGGAAGGGAGCAGTCTGGGTAATTGATCTTCTACAAAAGCAGAGTCAAATCATACCAGCCCTCATCATGGAGCAATGCAAAGCCGTGGGGTAGATTCTTCCCTACCAGTGGTCCCTTCTCTTTTACTCTCTAAACTAAAGAGTTGCGATCCAGAGAGCCGGTGTCGTTTCTTTTGTTTGCTTTGCTGGGTCACTTGCCGCTGCTGCCTTTTTAAAAGTGGGCTCTTTCAGATGCCCCTGGCATCGAGCCCGCGGTCTGCCATGGGGGGGGGGGGGTGACAAAGAGACGGTTTACCATTTTGGTGTGCGGGAATCTGAGATTACCTGAGTCAGGCCACCCTCCCAGCCTCGCCAAATTCCTCAGGCGGGGTGAGGGAATCAGACCCCCCCCACTCCCTCCCTCCGGCTCTGCCACCCCATCGGTGGCAAGGCTGGCCCTGCGTTGCATTTTTTTTTTTTTTTTGCTCTTTTCTCGCCGTTCCTCCCCACCCACCCCCAGAGCAAGGTAGGAACAACTCGCTTAGGTCGCAAAATCGGAAGGCGTTAAAAGCAACAGCAGCAGCAGCAAGGGCGACCGAGAGAGAGAGGGGGGGGGAAACCTTCAGCTTTGGCTGAAAAGGAGGGATTTCGGGAGGAGGAAAAGCAAGCAAAGCGAGCTCTCCTCCGCCCTCTCCCCACCCCCAACCCACCCACGCGAACGAGACTCTTGTCGCCGAAAATTAGGGGGCGGGAGAGGCCACGCCACCCGCGCGAGCAAACGCCCGGGCGCCGGCAGGAAAACGCGGCGACTCGTATCGAGAAAGGGGTGGTGGTGGTGGTGGTGGTGTTGTGGAGAATGGGCGACGAGCTGCGCTGCGTGCAAACAGCGCCGCCGGGGAGAAGAGACCAGGGCTCCGTTACTTGTGAGGGAGCCGCACAGGCGCACATAAACGGGCGAGCTTGGCGGCTCCTTCCCGAAGGCGAGGGAAAAGGGCGAACCGCCTGACTGGAACTCGGCAGAGTTTGTTCGCCGGCTGCCTGTGGAAGTGAGGCAAAGAATGTGCTACAGCCCCACCTCCTCCTTCTCCTCTTCCTCCTCCTCCCGCCGCTGCCCCAGCTCCTCACAACCAGAGCAGCCTGGAAGTGAAGGGGCTCGGTTTGCGGCCGCTACTGCCGCCAGTCGTGCTGTGCCTGCGCCGCGGGAGCGAGCGCTGCTATTGCTGCTGCCGCCGCCGCACCTGGCCTCGGCCGCTTTGGGATGTGCAGCAGGCGCCGCCTCCTGAACTCCGGCTAGTTCTCCCGCGCGCTCCTCGGCTCCGGCTGGGAGCTCCACTCGCGCCCGGCTCCGCTTCGGCTTCTTGCGGGAGGGGAGAAAAGCAGCGAGAGCCCTGATTGGCGAACGAAGCTTCGGCAAAGGCGCCAAGCGGTGGCGTCCTAATCTCACAGGCGGCCAAAACGACCCGCCGGGGCAACCGGGGAGGAGACCGAGCGAGGGCAGCGAGAGGCTACGGAACATCTCGCCCTACCCGCCCTTCTGGACTTTTGAGCACAGGAACTGCTTGGCGCGAGGGTCCGGAGGCAGAAGGGGGCAAGAGGTTTGTGGCGTCCCGTGACCCGACCCCGTGCAGTTGGACCTTCTTCCCGGCTTCGCTGGAAGGTTGGGTCTACGGATTATCCACTTTTTGGGGGCTTGGGCTGTGTGTTTGTGTGTGTGTGTGTGTTTATGTGTGCGTGTGTGTATGTGGGTACGTATAGCTGTGCGCGCGCGTTTGCGCCTGTGTGTCTGTGATGCTTGCAAAGAGGCGTCTGTTCCTCTGGTGCAGTTTGGGAAGGCGCTCCGCAGTGCATTGTTCGAGGATGCTTCGGTGCTTAGGCAGACTTTACCTGGGAGTAAGTCCCATTGTATGCGGGTCCGGGTGCGACGAGTGATAAATGAGGCTCTTCGGGTGAATTGCTTGATGGCACCGTTGGGGGGGGGGGGGGGGAGGGGAATGAGTGTGGCTGGGATATTCTGGGTTTGTCGAAAATTGGGTCCGGTTGTGGCAGTTAATTAGTACGGGGCTCGCTTGTTCCTTGGCTCCTATGGAGGAGAAGCAGCTGTGGCAAGGAGAGAGTCCTTCCTCCCTGGGCTACCTGAGGGAAGGTTTTCCAGGTACAAGCTTCCCGGCACCCGCTTTGAGAAAGGTATATTACCACCTTGTGCCTTCCAAGTATTTCCTCCCAGGATCGCCTTCTGCTTTCAGTACTGACACTCTCTTGGGGTGAAGGGGGGGGGGAGGCATTTCAGCACCTGGACCAAAAAACAGCACAGGGTGTGAAAAGTCTTTTCCCCCACCCAGTCGCTTTTGGCCTGTATTTAACAGCAGGCTGTGACTGTGAAATTTGCACCCCTTTAAGGAAACCTGTAATTTTTTGCAAAATGTTGTGAGCCCGTTTTTCTCCCCTTCTGCCGGCAACTTCATTCAGATCTGTAACAGTTCCTGGCTGACCCTAAAATAGATGGATAGGAAAACTGAAGAGCCCCACAGGATCCTACCTGGTTTATAAAGCGGGAGAGGTTTTTTAAAATTTTGATTTGTTAAGCAGTTTGAGTATTTTCCCCTTAATTTTAGAATTGAGTGCTTTTGACACTAATTTGTCCTTTTGAGTTTCACACTCAAAGCTTGGTTTCCACAGACCTGAACTCTAAAGGTATATGAATCTCAGTTGGTAGACTGAGGTAATGTTCAGTAACTTTCTAATCATAAAATGATAATGTGGGTTTCAGAAAATGAGATAAGGAAAACAATTCATGCCTTTTTTTTAAAAAAAAAAATAAGGATAAAAAACAGCCTTAAAACTGCAAAGGAAAAGTGCAGAAACCACTTTCTTGGAATAATTCAACTACAGTATCATAAACAGGTGTGAGATTTAAAACAGTGTGTACTTTTATTTGTCCTGTGGATCTGTGTGTATGTTTGTGTGTGCATCATATGATTTAAAAAAAATATAATGGGCATTTTTAGTTAAATATAATTGTTCATAGCTGGAGGTCTGGTTTATTGTCTAAAACATTTTACAAAAAAGCAAAACTATTTATAATTTAATCTGCAAGGCAGTTGAAAACACCTTTGCTTTATTTATTTATTAGGTATCCACGGAGGTTCATAGCAAAATGTTCAAGCACTGCCTAGTGTTCCATTTTTTTGTAGAAAAATGTGATAAATATTTAACTATGCTTAAATTTATTGTGAAAGGAATGGCAGATAATGTTTTTCCTTTATATTTTCTTATGCTTCTGTTTCAAGAAACCATTTAAGGTAACATATTATGTGTCTATGGCTTTAAAGCTCTTTATCCAGCTCTGAACTTTTTATTCACTTTTTGAAAAGTGAACATGTAACTGTTTGGGGCAAATATAGATAGATAAATAGATAGATAGATAGAGTAGAAGTTTCACCACATAGCTGTTCTTATAATGAAGAAAACACTAATTAAATTACAAAATGAATGTATCATAAAGACTTGGTCAGTTGTTTTCCAAATGCCAGTAATATCTATGTCTACTCCTACGGATCTTTTTTTCTTTCTTTCTTATGGTCAATGCCAAAAATCCATTTATTAAAGAGTTATTTCTGTGGATAAGTCTATCATTTTAGAGAAGCAATAATCTTATTGAAACAAAAAGCTTCAAGTTGTATGAAACATTTCATAAACTTGTCAATGATATGATTGTTGTTGTTGTTAGCTTATTTCCCAAACAATAATTTAATTTAATTTATGAAACATTTCATAAACTTGTCAATGATATGATTGTTGTTGTTGTGAGCTTATTTCCCAAACAATAAATATGTGATCTTGGATAGCCCAGTGGTTTTAACATGTAAGGCTTTTAAGTAAGGTCTCTTAAGATCAATGGAAGATATATATTTTCTGGGAAGTATGTTTAGAACATTGTATGTCTAGTTTCTGAAATAAAATAATGTATGGATATTAGAATGAACTAGCAATGCAATGCATTATTTGAAAGCATAGTATTTTTAAGATGTTCATCTGGATTCCTATAGAAGCGTGTAGAATGTTCATAAATGCCAGAAAAACTCTTATGACATATCACATCACATGATACAGCACTTCCAAAACTCAGGGGATATTTGAGCGTTACCTAAAATAAAACCCAAAATATTTTTCCTGAAGAAAAAACAAGGGACTTAAACAACCCTATGGAAAGTCATATTTTCTTGAGAGATCTTTGGATCTTGAGTTATCTGAATTAATAATATCACAACAGAGATGATAATATATCATTGTTAAAATAATAAATATTGATATCAAAAACATAACATTCCAAATTACAACACATTTGCAAATCTGTATAAGACAACATCAATGAGCAGAAATATCACCTAAAGATGTTAGCTGCTGGTGTTTCTTCAGCACTGTATTACTATGGAAGGATGCTTATGTTAAGGTGAATGAACGATGATTCATTCTTTACCCTGCATTACTCATTTTGATTTTGAGGAAAACAGTCTTCCACTATATATAATCTGTATATGTTACTATTGGCCAAATATTTATGCTTTAGTAGTTATCATTAATGCTACATTGTATTTTTTTAGGGAGTGAGTTTCAAACTGATGAGAATTTTGAAACATAAATTTTGAATTTATGTCAATAAAAGAGGGAAAATCTGAAAGGAAATAGATCATGATGTATATGCAGAAGGCTCCTCAAAATTCACAAGATGTTATATTTAGACCACTTTGATATTTTACTATTTTGTTTAGTTCTTCTCAGCAAGTGGTTTGGAAGAATTCACTTAGTACAGAATACGGAATCCACATGAACTGAGTCGGGTATCCTAACTCAAAGGCAAGCCATGTAGAGCATTCACACTGGTGTAACACTTGTCATACATATTCTTTCATGACAAACATTTCAAAGCACTCCTGTGGAGGAAGATGTCACAGGAAAGGTTTCCTACTTGCAGGATTGTTGATATAGCTTACCAAAAGCTTTATGTCACCCGTGGGAATTCCCCCAGGATAAACAGACACTGTTAACAGTAAACACTCTGTGTGGGGATTGGCTAGATAATTTTATAAAGTTCAAGATTTTTAAATGAATGCAAAGAGGATAATTTGCCAGAATCAAGCTGTTAGGCAGCCAGGGACCAAATTAGGTGTTTGACTTAATCTTTTCAGAAATTCTACGGGGGCGGGAAGGCGAAAATCTCAGTGACTGTTTCTTTATCTAGTTTATTTAGTTTTCCTTATCTAGTTTTTTTTAATTGGGGGGGAGCTAGACAGAACATTTTTGCTCAGTCAGTTTACTTTGTAAAGGAGAAATATATCCATTCAAATCTAGCAATAAAATATTGTAACATAATGGCTAGAATAATTTTGAATAATAGTATGCATTTATTGTAGTCTCAAAGGACTATCATAAATACAAAGGTTTTGCTGCATAATAATAGAGAGTTTGGGAAGACAGATAATTGGGAATTATAATTTAATAAAACTGTAAAAGGTGTAAATAAACATAGCCTTAAGACTATGCAGTCTGACATGGGACCAAGCCCACTGATTTTTTTTGAGAAGATACATATAGATTAGCACAATGTTAATTTCTAGTTAAAATATTCTATTTGTAGTTTGCTTCTTAAAAGCAAAAGAATGAATATTAGGGTAGTAACCTGCCTACGTAGGTGCAAAAATGGAGGCTTTTGTTACATAAAATAGGTTTTGCTATGTTTCAAAACAGTTTTTATTGGGAAACACATTGAATCCATCCATCCATCCATCCATCCATCCATCCATCCATCCATCCATCTAAATAAATAAATAAAAATATATATAATGCTACTCATGTCCAGATACAATCTTCTAGTATAGAGTATACATGCATAGTATGTTGTCTAGTATATGTGAATGTTATTTATTCTTAATCTGAAATACTGAACATAAATCATGATATTTTATCATTAGCCTATTCAGAATTTTTCATAGCCATGAAGTTTGCCATTTTCTCCACAGTGGAAGCTAGTGCAGGAATAGTTTGGAATGAAATTGAAGAAATGCAAGTCAACTATAAAGGTGTATTCAATGAATATATTTTTTTTGTTAAACATACAAAAATATGCATTTCTTCAGTGGATTGTTACACTCCACTTATATTTGCACTTAAATTTATGTTGAATTGGGCAGGTAGCAGAAGTACAAAGTCTAAAACAAGTTTTCAACAATAATTTATGAATTAGATTTAAACAAGGCAGAGTTAATAAAAATTTAAGCAATCAATTGCTTATTCTGATAAAGTGGAAATTTATTTTTCTTTGAGATAAATTTCATTTGATGTAATAAGGATAAAAACATTATCGAATAGCTGTGTCCAATTCAAGTAGATTTCCATTTGTGCAATAGAGCTTCCTATTACTCTCTTCCCTCCCTCTCACCCATCCGTATCTATTTTATTTGGGAGAATCTTCTCCATCTTCCAGAGCAGATATACAGGAATACATAAACAAATTAGGAATACCTAAACAGACTATGGATGAATATTCATCTAGATGAAAAATATCTGTTAGGGGAACAACCCCATTGAAGAAATCCCATACTTTGCTTGGCATGTATATCTTATATTTATGCCTAACCGTTCATCAGATGCAGGATGGACTGTAATTTTAAAAATAAATTTGAGTTGTACTGAATTGTTGGCCATATTGGCATTTTCCACAAAGAAATAACCGGCATTGTCACACAGATGTATTGAAGACCTTAACAGGTCTAATTCTGTGCAGAAGCCCAGCACATATAAATTACATTTTGTTATGGAATTAGATTATTATCATACTATCGTATCCTATTATCTTGACTTCACTAGAAAGCTCCTGTTATAAAGTTTCTACTAAGTATAATTTGCATAGCAATTTAAACAAATTTCTGCATGGATCACACCTTGTATTATGGGAGCCAGCACCAGTTTGGTGAGTTTTTCCCTTATCAGAACAGAAATGAGCCATGTGTTCCATGACCAATGTAATTCTCATTCTCTCCTCTAATCACTACTGTTCCAATAGAGTCAAATTGGAACAAATATTTTGGATTCAATTATGTCTCACTATATGTTGGGATTACATTTGTAATATAATCTGGAGATCAGGGCCTCATTTATCTAGAGTTCATGGAAGTTATACCTTTCCT